GGTTGTAATACTTATTAACTTGCGGCATAATCTTATAACATTTCGAACTCGACAGGATATCAGCTTTTGAATACATTGCCTTTCAATATCCTGTGGAAACCGTAACCGGTAAAAATGACTACTTAATTAGCATGCTTTTTTCCATTGATTTTTGATGATCTTGCAAATTCAAATATATATGTTACAGAAACCATAAACAAAAATATGCGTTCTTTTAGTCAATTAATAGAGAATCACGTCTTCTTTTTATTTTATACGGAAGGAGGGAGTATAATTAGTTTTAGAAAAGTTTCTAATTATGACATTTTTTAAGACCGCGCAATGTCCATTTGCATAGCATCGTACCTGGCCGTTTACCACAGCTTCTCATGAAATGTGCAACATAGCCGCATCCATTGCAAAACTGCATGGACTCTGTATGATATCATTCTAGAAGGCATAGAAAAAAATTGTGATTTTCCTTGCGCGGAACGCTTGCACCTTGTAAACTGAAATTACTAAGCGCTAATGTACCGAATGATCAGGCTCCAAATTATTCGGCAGTTAAAAAATCTTTTAAAAGCTTAATTATACTCCTTCCTTGAGTATAAAATATAAAGAAGACGTGATTCTCTATTAATTAAGTGAAAGAAAGCATATTTTTGTTTATGGTTTCTGTAACATATATATTTGAATTGGCAAAACCGTCGAAAATCAATGGGAAAAATGCATGCTAATTAAGTAGTCATTTTTTACCGATCACGGTTTCCACAGGAGATTGAAAGGCAATGTATTCAAAAGCTGATATCCTGTCGAGTTCGAAATGTTATAAGATTATGCCGCAAGTTGATAAGTATTACAACCACGCCCAAGTAAGCCTTCTTAATCGAAAACGCATTTCAGCCAACATTTCGTAAGATCAGTCACTCACTGTAGCATGCCATGCTAGTCGGTCTCTGGCTGATCGAATTGTCCCTTCTTTTGTTGTCTCTGCATTTTGTTGGGTGGTTGACGGGACTGCCGGCTACAGGCGCAATAAGTCATCACCTCAATGGCGAGAGGGTTGTTGATTATAACTCTGCGGGGGGGGTTGTGTCTGCTGTGGTCCTAAAACAGGCCACGCGTTAGACGCGCTGGGCAAACACGGGTTCACAACGGATTCTGGCAGGCCTACTTGGCCACTCATGTCGCGCTGTTGTTGTTGGTTGAAATCCTGGCCACTGTCCGCTGTGGACCAAGGGATGTGGTGACACGTCTAGCTGCGGGTTCTCGCCGTGCCAGTAACCTGGGTCCTCTCCTGCCTCCTGTCTTCCTGACTATGTCATTACGCCGGATCCAGATGTGGCAGAGGGAGGGAGTGTGGTAAATGCGGCACAATTTTATTATCACTATCAACTAATTCACGTGCAAGTCGCCGCGCATTCCCTCACCCTGCTGTGGAGCACATAGTCGACGTCGTCGGTCACGACGGCAGTGTCTGTGTAGCTTTCTTAAGTTCTATGTAGCCATCTTGTCCTCGTCTTTGAGTACACAATAACGCATAACTTCATAAGCTGAAGGAAGCTCAAGATGCCTGTCCATGGAGGTAGCATCTGAATATCATTCCTCAAGTGTTAGCCGATCAGTCGTTGATTTGCCCCCGCCTAGCGTAGTAACTCCCCGAAGATAGAAAGCACAGACTGCTTCTCCAGTGTGCTTTGAAAGTTGAGTGTTTGGATCTAACCTCCGAGGTACTGATTAGTGTTCTTGCAGACAGATCTGCAACTTCTGTGCGGTTTCTCCAACTTAATTACAGTCCAATCATTGCGACTTCTTTTGTTGACAACTGCCGAGGTCACGATGAGTGGTAGCCCGTCCTTAAGTCTCCCCAAACGGTGATGAATTGCTACCTTGGGTCGGTGGGATATCCTACTCTGACGAGTTTTGATCGTTGAGGAATCGCCTCGAAAACTCATTTAATGTAGAAAATGGCTCTCCAGACTTCTTACTGTTGCCCCTTTTTCCGTCCTCTATTCGCTCGATGTCCGCTTTTTCTGATAAAATGGCTGAACCCTATTGCCTGTGAAGAGATTCTAAAGGCATAGGCGCTCAGTTCTGTATTAGAACTTCCTCGACTTGTCTCTCTCATAGCGCTCAGCCACTAGTTGATTCACAGCCTCTATCGCGAGACGTTATGGAATGAAGATGAAATGTGTAACGATATCAAAGGATACCATGAATTCATCTAGCCCTCACTTCAGGTGATTTATGCGCTCAAAGAAATGACTGGCAGAAGTTACTGCTGTTGATGAACTTGTGGCCAATAGTTAATGATGAACAAGCATCCATTTCGCCAGGTCATTCGTCGGGGTGATACGAAGAGAGGGGACTGACCTGAGCGGTACACTTACCTAGTGTACCTTTAGCAGACCGTAGAAGCGGGTAGTGGCGGAGCCAGTGTGTTTCGTGAACTTGACGTACAACAGCACCCTCTGGTTCACAACGCAAACTGTCCAGCACTTTATGATAATCTGACCGTCTTTGCCGAAGATGTCCACCGTGTGCTACAAAGTAGACTGACCAAGATTTTACACAACAAGAAACAAGGGGGCGATCCGTGTCTCACGGAGGGGGAGTGTCATAGAGACCATACCATGAAGGAGCCATTGCAGCCTGACTCCAATCTAAACCAAAACACAGTTGGCTGACTACGAGGTCCGAATTATCCCACCAGTTGGCAACCTTTCAAGCCAAGGCATTTAGTGCTCCGTGTAGTCTCGGACTTGGATTACACACAGCAGAGGAGTCACGTAGAGAAGGAGCGGAGGAGCACACATTCCACTTACGTGAGAAGTCCCAACCACGTGCTTACGCTTTGTGATTTCGGGTATGGTCATGTGTGTTTTAGGTGCCGGTGATGAGAGACGTTGTGATATGGTATAGCCGGCGGGTTCTACGGCAGGTTTTTAAGGAGACGCATGTGTCATAATAGGCCCATGAGATGGCTGAATGTGCGAGGTCAATGCAAGGAGTCGAGATGATGGCTTCTGGCGTACTTAAATGCTCCTGGCCCTGGTTAGCCGGTCTCTGTGCGACGGATTCGACCAGGCCGTTACGTAAGGTGAACGCGTGGTGACAATGTGGGACGGATAGTTTGGGGAATGTAAGGCCGGTTGTCGTTGTGATGCTGCTAGCGCGCGCTGGCTGATAGGAAGTTGACTGGGTTGAGGGCGGGAGGGATGACTGATGTGCACGGCATGTTAGGTATGTCGATACTGCGGTGAATTCCGCTTCTGCGGACGCGCACGTGACCGAATAGGTCCATGTAACGTACGAATGTGAGTAGACGGTGTAAACAGTGAAGGCGGATGCAGCGAACGTATGTGGGGGCTCTAGGTGCTGGTGTGCCGGTTGTAATGCTATGGATTCACAAATGACCGACCAGGCCGATGTGCAAGGTGAATTTGAGATCGCAACGGGAACGGGTTAAAACCGAGTCCACATCGTTGGAGATAGGATTGTGGTGTTGAGGTTGATAGTTGACGGACAGTCGGGAGAGTATTGTTCGGTTGAGGGAGAGTGAGCTGTTGTGATCGCCGTCGTCGTCGTCGTCGTCGTCGTCGTCGCGGAGGTTGTTGTAGGGATGGTGAAGTTGGCAGCGACAGACGAGTGGGAGGCACGGGGATGTTGAGCATCGGCAATGACAACGGTTGTCGTGGACGCCGTGGGGCTTGGAGCAGGGGCGGTTGAAAAGGCAGCTGGTGGGATTGTCGGGGTGGTGCACCGAGTCCGGAAACGCCCGACGAGGCCGATCCACGAGGAAAATGTTGTTTGACAGTGCAAGCATGTTAGGCTTAGTTTGGGATTGGTTATGGGGTTCAAGAGCGCCTCAGCCCTGCGAGCTTCCATTTTGGCTTCCGCAGCGGCGATTCGGTTGGCTTTCTAGATGTCTGCTCCAGTCATCAGTGCTCTTCATCAGGGCGGTCAGTCGAAAGCGAGGTCTTCCCGGATCTTCGGGTTAGTATGTAGTCGCTCTAAAGAATTCTTTATGGTATCCTTGTAGCAACGGATTTGACCTCCTTGCCGGCGAGCACCCGTGGGAACATCTCCATAGAAGAGTTTATGGTAGGCGATCGTCGTCCATCCGCATGAGATGACCGCTCCAGCGTAGTTGCAGTCACTTCAATGCGGTGTGGATTCCAGTCTGTTTCAAAACTTTTTGTCCGATGTCCTGTCCTGCCTCCTCCGTTGTAGTATCCGGCTGAGAATGGAGGTGATTGTGTTCCTGCGCTTGTTTCATGTAGACCGTCTAGGTCTCTGCATCATAAAGCAGCGTCATCACGATGACTGCTTTGCACTTTTACAGTGAGCCGTTCAGTTGAAGGCCGTGGCGATTCCATAGGGAGTTCTACAGCCGACCGAATGATTGGCTTGACCTCGTCGTCGATTATGATGCGGCATAAGAGTGTGCTGCCTAATAAGGCGAAATTTTTCACAGTTTTCAGTTCAGTGCCGTTGACGTGGATGCGAGGAGCACTGCATATAGCACTGAGTGACAACTGATACATGACGCTCATTTGGTCCGTGTTGATGGTCCGCCCGAAGTTGACGCAACTGGAGGCATAGACTTCCATACTTGTACTTTATACGGCCGCGATCATGCCTGATCTAGCCGGCCTCGATGATGTCAAGGACTGTACCTCACCACGCGTGAAGATCCGCGGCAGCAGATCTGGACAGCTGAAACCATTCTCTTCGCCAACGACGGAGACCGAATACCGAAGGTTCAAGAACCACCTCCATGTCTTGACGAACTGTGTCGTGCCAGGATTTGAACTGACCCCCTCTCCGCCGCCTCCAATAGGTTAGGGTGCCGGATCGAGGGCAGTAACGCTGAGCTCCTGAGGTGGACGGCGAACAACATGCCCAAACCATCTCAGTCGTCCTTCTTGGATGGCCAGTTATATTTGCGATGTTGTCGCAGTGAGAGCGGGTTGTCCCATTTGAGACGAAGTCGGTGAATTTCACTCGAAGGATGGTCCTCAAGCAGTGGTGGTCAAATACCTCCAGTTTTCGCTCGTCCTCCACGTGCAAAGCCCAGTATTCACAACGGAAGGGAAGGACAGACCGGACATATGCACGGTACACGAGAATCTTAGTGGCGATGGAGAGGTCACGTCGGATCCATAGGCATTTCCAAGGGCTTGTGTAAACCCAGCGGGCAGCATCAATTCGAGGGAGACAATGCCGTCCTTACTCCGTTCATTAGGCATCAGCCTCGCCCCGAGGTATTTAAAACTGTCTACTTCTTCAAGTTGACAGTCATCAATCCCGAGGGGTGCCATCTCCTGGTCAGGGATGCAGCTTGAAAGCACTTTGGTCTTCCCAGCGTTTATGGACAAACCGACCGATCTAGCGACCTCGTTCACCCGTGACTCCATAGACTGCAGATCACCAAAAATTGAAGCAGGTAAGGCGATATCATCGGCATAGTCGAGATTAGTCAGTCGCTGTCCGGGTGCAAACCCAACGTCGTCACTCTCGCGTAGGGCCCTCCCGAGGATCCTGTCAATATCATAGTTGAACAGAATTGATGACAGGATACAACGCCGCCGAACGCCAGACCGAATACCGAACGGTTGGGAAAGATTGTTGCAGACCTGGACACTCGCAATAGCGGAGTGATAATAGGCCTTGATCATGGCGATGATTTTTAACTGTACACCATCAAGCGCCATTATCCGCCACAGGGACTCACGATGGACGGAATCAAACGTGTTGACAAAGTCAGAAAAGCAAACGGCTGTCGGTTGTTGATAGCTATGGCGAAATTCGAGAATGCGCCTCAGTGTGAATATCTGGTCTGCGCATCCACGTCCGGCACGAAATCCGGCTTGGTTGGGCCTCGTCCTTGAGACACGTGCAGCATGGAATCGCCTAAGTATGACAATATGGAAGATCTTCGCAGCAATGTCGATGAGGTTTATGCCGCGGGAGTTCTCGCATCTCGTCTTATCTCCCTTCTTGAGGATAGGTACAAGGATGGCTAAGTCCCAGTCATCAGGAACAACCTCGACTCTCCACGCTTGTTCAATCAACTCATAGAGCCTGGGCGCCAGAGTGTCGACACAAAACCTGAAGATTTCAGCGTGTATACCATCCTCTCCGGGTGCCTTGTTGTTGCGTATATCTCGTATGGTATCGACGAATTCTCCTTCAGAGGGGGGTCGCAGGACACTGCATAGGTGGGAGAAAGAAGAAGCTTCGCTGAAGAGGAGAGCAAGGGCGTGGTGGGTTGGGTATGGAAGATGAGACAATGCCTGAATTGCTCACGTCAGCGCTCGACTTTGACCGAGTTGTCAGCAATAAAGCCGCCGTTCGCGTCGCGAACAGAGTCACTCAGTGTAGAGGGCTTACCTCTAACCTGGTGGATAAGTTGGTAGAGCTTTCGAGTTTCACCAGCGTTCGAGGCCTGTTCCATGGAGGTCGCTTCTTCAGCCCAATATTGCTTCCGGTCACCTCTGGTCGATTTCGCCGTCATCTTACGAAATTGGCGGAAGCAGTCATCGTTACGGGACCTAGTTCGAGCCGTCTGGGCAGACAATTGCAGGGTTCTTCCGCTGATCCAGACACTGCGGCGTCGCTGGGCGCATCCAAGGAGTTTATCAGCTGCCCTATAGACAGACGTTTTTAGTGACGACCACTGGTTACTACCTTCTCCGTCGGCTCGGGTCGTCAAACAGGTCCGGATTTTTTTGCATAGGGCCTCGGCAGTGCTGGCTTACCGGATTTTTGCGACATCGAGGAGTCTAGGACGTGACATTTTTGGCGCGGACAAGAGATGGACTTTCAAGCGTGTACGGACTAGGACATGGTTCGACCCATGGGCGTTATCAGTCTCGGCACCACGCATCGATCTGCTATCGTGAACCCAGCTGCGGAACCTTGAGTTGACTAGTATGATATCAATCCGATTGGCCGTGTGGCCGTCGTTTGAATGCTAGGTCAGCAGATGCTTTTTGTGATGTTGGAAACATGTGTTGGTAGCAAGCATTTGGTTTCGATCAGCGAAGTTCGGTAATCTCACCATTTTCACATCGGGAACCAAGCCCAAAGCGGCCAAGAAGATGACTGGCTGTAGGGTCGCCAGGTCCAGTTCGACCATTCCAATCGCCAGCAACAATTAGCAGATCGCGGCGAGGCAGTCTTTCAACTAACGCTTGCAACTGCGAGTTAAACGCCTCTTTATAGCGCAGTTAAGCAGCCGAATTTGGTGCGTACACAGAGACGATAGAGATGTTCGGGAAGTGACCCTTCAGTCGCACGTAGGCCATCCAGTCATTGACTGGTTCCCAAGTAAGTAGCACGAGGTCCGCTTGTTGCGATAGGGCGATCGCATCACCGCGTCGACCAGAAGAGTCGCGCGGGCCGCTGTGGTACAGAGTAAAGTGTGATTCGACTCCAGGGATCTTTATTTCTCGAGAGTCTGAGTCAGGAAGTCGAACTTCAGACAGGCAGCAGACATCCACGTTGTACTGATCAAGGCTGCGTGCGGTCAGACTTTGGGTATCGAGTCCAGGAACGTTCGCACATTCCAGCACACAATACCAAGAGTCCGTCGCTGATTGAGTAGTCCAGCTCGCACACTGTTCGCCCGCACCACTGGACTAGGGTTGTGGAGCTCGTCGGTTCCCGCGGACGCCGTAACATGGGTTGTAATACTGTGATCGGACATTTTTCATGAGGTTTCTTGGCAATTTCGAATACAGGCTGGCCCCAAACAGCCTCTCGGATTGTTTGTTCGATGTTGTCTCCTCTAGCGCTCTGGCTTAAAAGCCTAACCACAAAGCAGCGGTGGCAAGCAAACTTATTTAATGGCGGTTTACGGTCGCCATGTCACAATGTCGTCGTTGGTCTTTGCGGCTTTTTATAAGGCTTTCAGCGTGCCAGACCTCAGCCCACAGCACATTGGTAACAATGCTGCTGCTGGTCCGCGACTGCGTATTCGTCAGACCTGGGTCTGCTTATTTCGCAGCTAACCTTCACCGAAGTTCGTCCCGCTATCCGTCACCTGTGGACGCGCCGGGTCGCCAGCAGCTAGGCTAACGTGTAGCTCGTCCTCCATACTTCGTTGCATGTGGGCATCTGTTTTGGTGTTGAGTGCGCAGTCATCAGCAAGGAGCAGGTCGTGGATACTAGACGCAGAGAGACGTGGTGAGGCCGGCAGGCACCGGCTGTTGAGAAGATGGCCGTCAGTTCTATAAGCGATGCCGGTCCGGGGGCACTAATCACGATAAACGTCGATCAGCATGGCAGAAAACATGAGACTGAGGAGAGTTGGGACGAGTTTGCAGCCTTGCTTCATTCAGTTGTTTACTGCAAATGCTTTGGAGACATGTTCGTCGTCCGTAGCGCGAGTCATCATGCCGCTGTGGAGCTGACGCACCATGTGCGTAAATTGTTCAGAACAGTTGAATTTCTGCATGATTTTCAACGTTCCATGGTGATTCACCGTGTCGAAGACTTTCATCAAGTCCACGAAGGCAGTGTAAAGGTGGGCTCTCATCTCCTGGCGCTTCTCTTGTAACTGGAATGCGGCAAAAACCTTCTCGGTGGTTCCGCCTGGCGAAGTAATCCACAATGTCTCTCCGACAGGAGTCCATGTTGGAGATGGTCGTTGAAACGAATGGAGAGAAGGCGAGCGAAGATCTTCCCAACAATGTTTATTAGCAGGATTCTTCTGTGGTTATCACAGATTTGCCAGTTCCCGTTCCGCTTGTAGATATGGACGATTGCTGCATCCTCGAAATCTTGAGGAAATTGTTCTCAGTGTCAAATCTTCTGGGATCGCCTAATGAGTTGATCCACCAACTGGGATCCCGTGCTTTTTCGCTGGAGTTGGTACACGGCCATGGTTTTTTCTGGGTGAGAAGGTGGTAAGTCAAGGTCGTTGGTTTTTTCCACTTGAGGAAGTTGGTCAAAGACGGCGACTGAGACTGAAGATGGTCAGTTGAAAACACTTCTGAGGTGCCCCGACCAGCGGTTCAAAATCTGTGATTCCTCTATCATAAGTATCGATTCATCATAGCCGAGAAACAGCCTGGTTTCTTCTGTTGGGGTGCCGTGGATCGCCTTGATCGCAACAAAGGAGTTCTTCGTTTCACTGCGTCTGGCATAGCCCCGGGATCTCCTTGGTTTTTTGCGAGCTATCCATGCGTCCTGCATTTCCCGTAACCGTTGCTGCACAAGAGGGCGTTTTCGGTAGAAGGTGCTTTTTGCATTGATCGGGAGGTCAAAACAAGTTCTATGCAGTCTCTTTTTTCGTCAAGCAGGTTGCTGATGGTCCTGGTGTTAATGACGTGCGCGTCCAAAGGCACCCAGGGCGATAGAATGAACAGCGTCCTCAAATTGTCGCCATCGAATATCCATGGGAGCGTTTTCATCTGGAGCTTGCAGACCTTCCAGCCGTCGGTCAGTTGATTGCTGAACTGTAAACGGAGAGCAGGCCAAAGCAACAAACCGGCATCTAACTTGCTTGGTAGTCACTTACCTTGGGGCCCACTACGTGGTTGCAGACGTAGCCTCATCCTGGAGATGACGATGTGGTTGTCTCTCCAACCTTCAGCGTCGCAGATCGCATTGGTCGCTAACACGACGTTTCGATCGCACCACCGGATGAGAACGTAGCCCAGTAGCTGCAAGCGCCGCGATCGGAAGTGCATCCTGGTCGCCTACTTCCGCATCGGCAGGCGAGAGAGAGTGTTGGCTAGCAGGAGGCGGTTTTAGGCGCAGGTATGTGGGAGATGGAGACCACTATCGCCTCGACTGCCTATCCCGTGAGGACGCAGAACTCCTCTCCAGGCAGCGCAGTTTATCTCGAAGCTGGCACTTAAACCACCACCAATAGCCAGCTTTTCCGCTTTCAGCACAGACGCCAGGATGGCGTGCAAGTCTTCGTAGAACTCGGTTTTAGTCTCGTCGGAGCTGTTCATTCGAGGACGTAGGCGCTGATAATGGTGGCGAATTTGCCTCCTCCGCAGGCCCCATCAGTCGTTCATTGACGCCCTGCGGTAGACAAGGCAGTCATCCCACGATGTCGTTTTGAAGGGCAAAGGCGACGCCCGCATCCCGTCGCTCTGCTCTTGAGCGGCCGCCGCAGAAGAAGGTGTAGCCCGCGCCCACCTCCTCCAGTTGGCCTTGGTCGGAAAGCCGGGTCTCGCTGAGTGCAGTGATGCCCACCTTGTAGCGCGTCAGTTCTCGAGCGACGAGCGCCGTCCTCCGTTCCGATCGGTTGCTGCTCGGATTGTCTAGAAGGGAACAAACATTCCAGGCTGCTGCAGGGAGCAGACTCACGCTTTCTGTCTCAAGGATGCGGAGAGGATAATGGGGCCAAGGGCTGTTGCTGTTGTTTATCTGAGTAGTTTGATAGCGGCTTTTATCTCTACGAGCCGCGATATACTAGCGGATGGCGTTATTCCCCTAGCGTATGTTTAGAAAGCCTTCTTAGGTACCTTCTCTACCAGCGAGTAAGCAGTGCTGCCCACAAACAGGACTACTTAGGCATCCCGGGCGGGTACTGAACTTCACTATGGGTCACGGCTCGATTTAGTGGGAGAACGACCCGAGTTAACCTGGGCCGCCTACGGGACTGCATGTTACCCTCCATGTTGTACTTTTTGAAGTGGTAGAAAGGGTGATGGCGAAATGGAGGGGAAGTTGGAAGAATAAAGAGTCGTTTGGGTAGCCTCTCGTCACCCATCCGTACGAGGTGGCCGTTCCAGTGTAATTGTAGTTGTCTCAGCATGTCATTGATGCTGAGGATTCCCGTCCGCGCCAGTACGTCCGTGTCCGGGATCCGGTCCTGCCAACTCAGCTTCAGCATTCGATGAAAACAACTGGGGTCGAGTCTGGGTGCCTGTTTAGTGTACACCGTCAAGGTCTCTGTTCCATACAGCAACCTCGGTAGAATGACCGCCTTTTACATCTTCAGCTTCGTGCTGAGTTAAAGACCTGATGACTCCAAACTGTGTCTTGAAGACGACTGAGAGCTTGGCTGGCCTTGAAAATCTGGCGGGCCACTTTATCGTCGATCTTGGTGCCGCGGTAGAGGATGCTTCCCAGATACGTTAAGTTGTCCACCACTCGCATTCGCGTTCCGTTCACGTTGATTTTCGGCGCACTGGGGGCATTTTTGTGTGGTTATTGGTGCACGACCACCGTCTTCTCCGTTCTGACGATCAGGCCGAAGTTCTCGCAGCCGCGGATAAGAGATCCCTGCTCATTTGCATGCCCCCAATTGTTGTATTGAGGGCGTAGTCATCGGCGAACGGAAGTTCATAGACGGCGGTTGTGGATAGACGCGACTGGAAGTGCATTCATTGCTGACTGAGGAGGTGGCCGTCCATCCTGCAGGGAATTCGCATGCCGGGGCGTTCGTCACGGTAGGCGTCCATCAGCATGGCAGGGAAAGTAAGATTGATGAGGGTGGGTGCCAGGCCGCATCCTGCTTCACTCCTTTAGTCACTGCGAATGCGCCATCATGCCATTCTGGAGGTGATGCTGTATCTGAGTAAATCATTCGTGACGGCCAAATTTCTGCATGATTTTCCACAGTCCTTCACGATTCACCGTATCGAAGGCTTTCGTCAAATCCAGGAAGGTAGAGTAGAGGCGGGTCGGCATCTCATGACACTTCGCCTGCATTTGACAGGAGACGAAGCCCATGTACATAGTCCCACGATGACGGCGGAGGCCGCATTGGCTTTCCGGTAGGAGACCTTGCTCTAGGTGGTTGTTCAAGCGATTGAGAAGGATGCCAGCGAAGATTTTTTCGGTAGTGTCCAGCAGGGAAATGCCTCGGTGGTTGTCGCAGGTTTTGCCGTTCGCTTTCCTCTTACAGAGATGCCGATTATGACGTCCTTGGAATTCTGCGGATTTCTTCTTGAAGCCACGTCTCCTGGAAGAGCGCTGTCAGACGATCCATGAGTTGGGGCTCACCGTGCTTGTACATCTCAGTAGAGATCGCGTCCGATCCGGGCGCTTTCCTGCTGGAGAGCTGCTGCAGGGCCCTGATGGTTTCCTGGAGAGATGGCGGGAGGTCGAGGTCCACGTTGGTCTCCACCTGAGGCAGACGGGCGACGGCGGCGTCGAGATGGTGGAGGGACGGTTGAGGACGCCTCGTAAGTGCTCGGCCTATCGCTGTAGGATTTGTGTCTCCTCGGTGGGTAGGGCACTTCCGCCGGCGCAGGGAAGAGGAGCGGTTTCTTAGGTTGACGAATCGTCGACAGCCGTGGTCGCGGGAAAAAAGGCTCTTTCATTCGTTGCTGTCCGCGTGTCCTTTGATCTCCTCAACCTTGCGAACCGTGCAAGCGTCCTGCATCTCCCGCATCCGCTGTTGCACAAGGCGTCCCGTATGGTTGAACTCTGCCTTTTATCGTCTGTGGGGCGGTCGACGTAGGCTTTATGCAGGCGGTTTTTCTCGGCCAGCAGGTTGCTGATGGTGGCGTTGTTGGCATCGAACCAGTCCTGGTGTTGGCGACGTGCGCGACCGAGGACAGCCAGGACCGTCGACTGGATTGTGTCCCGGATTTGACACCATCGGTTCTCAACAGAGGCGTTTTGCTCGTTGGCGGCGGCGACGGCGACTGGAAGCTAGCTCAGTGTTGAAGTGGAAATAGTTAGCAAACAAAGACAACAAGGCAATATTCACCTTACCTGGGAGTCGCTCACCTTGAGATCTCCTGAGAGGCTGTAGACGAATCCGCATCACGGAGATGACGAGGCGTGAGCACCCGGAATCGCCTTTGTCACCAGCACGTCTCGCTGGTCTCGCCTCTGGGCGAGAACGAAGTCCAGCAGGAACCAATGTCGCGACCGAGAGTGCACTCAGGTGACCCTCTCCCGCATCGGGAGGTGGGAGAAGGTGTTCATCAGGATAAGACGCTATTCTGTGCAGGTGAGTGGGAGGAGCAGGCCGTTGTCCTTGGAGCCTTCAAGACCATGGGGATTCAGCACTCCTCTCCAGGCAGCATGGTCTGTGCTGACGCGGACGTTGAAGTCACTGATGACAATCAACCTATCCGCCTTCCGCACAGACGCCAGGAGGGCGTGCACATCCTCGTAGAATTTGTTCCTCGTCCCGTCGAGGCTGGTCACCGGGGGGGGAGCGTAGACACTGATGATGGGGGCGAATTTGCCTCCCTAAAGAGGCGGGCGGAGATTCATCAGGTTATCATTGATACCCTGCGGCAGACAGGACAGTCGCCTCACGATGTCATTCGGATGGCAAAGGTGATGTCCGCATCCCCTCGCTCTGCCCTGGAGCGGCCGCTCCAAAAGAAGGTGTAGCCGACACCAACGTCTTCTAGTTGGCCTTGTTCGGAGAACCAAGTTTCGCTGAGTGCAGCGATGTCAGCGCTGTAGCGCGCCAGCTCCCGAGCCACTAGCGCCATTCTCCGTTCCAGCCGACTGCTCCTCGGATCGTCTTAAAGGGGTTGAACATTCCAGGCGGACTCACCATGCCAGTCTGGCCAGTTGGATGGCAGGGAGGAAGTGGAGGAAGTGAGCGAGTGTTTTTTGCGATTTGAATTGTTTCGAGAGCGTGTTTTGAGTCTGAGGCCACGGTCAGCCTACAGACGGCGGGGTTCCCAGTATTTGTTTAGGGCACATTCTCTAGCCCTTTGCCCCGCGCGGTGGGAAGCAGTGCTCTCACTAAATAGGGTTGATCAGTTGTCCCAGGCGTATGCCGAACCCTAATATGGGCCACATCTTTGTTTATTGGAAGAGTGACCCGAGTTAGCCTGGGACTGTCTAAGAAATCACACGACAATTCGACCGCCGTGCCTGACGATGTCCATCGTGTGCTCCACTGCAAGTTGAAGCTGGCAAGGTGAAATGTGCTCGAGTTTGTAGTGGTTAGGCAGTGTGAATATGTCCCTGTCTGAGCGCTACCTTCGTCGGCCATATCCCAAGTTGGACGGAGAAGACAGAAAACACCAAAATGAGGGGTCCATTGCGCACAGAATCCGGAGTTATCCTCTCAGGCGGCAGCGGCCACTAGTGAAGCCAGGGCTGATGTTGACTGCGTCCAGTCATGCCTGGGAGTCCCTGAGATGGTGGTGGCAGCCGCTCGTGAGCCAAGCTCAAGTGGTGGGCAGTCAGTGTGTGTTGCATTTTCCGAGGGGTGGTGTCCCAGTGGCTTAGGTTGTGGTTGCAGGCTGGCGGTGCGTTCAAGTGGCCGCATGTGCAGCTGCGGCTGTGCGGACGCAGGTGTGCCTGAGCTGTCGGACGTGTGACTTCAGGTCAGCGAGTCTGGAACGGCTCACTGCAAAGGGTGAATGACCTTGAGGCAGTGAGGTCTTGAAAAATGACACCGGACCAGTCATGATGGCTACCTGCAACAAGTTCCCCTATGGGGTATATAGACTTCAGCAGCATCTACCACACTCTCTTGTCCTCCCCGCCTTGGCGGGGTGTCAAGACAGAGTCAAGATGACCGGAGATGGTAAACTTGTCAACAACGAATTTGGCGAAAATAACTGTCTAAACGACTGCTGCGGCGGATGAGTTTCTTATTAGTGCCGGGTTAACTGACAACGCGGCCCGCCAAATGACAAGACACAAATTTAATTATCCACCACTGGCGTCTGGTATCATTGTCGCTGCGGATCTTCAGACCCAGCACCGGTGATTAAATTTTGGCAATTAACGACTGAGATGCGGGAGTTCAAGCCATCATCACTCCAAAAACGACCATCTGCAATGGATGTGGGAGCGTCTGATTTTGATAGGCGTGTAGTTGCATAGCAACTCGATCCTATAAATGCCGAAACCCTTGTGCATCCACTGTCTATATCTGTTGCTGCCACTGACGATGGGTTCAAGTGTGGATCGGAGGCTTCAGACGAAAAAAAAATATTTTTTTCAACGATTGAATCTCCCTCCTCTTAACTGCCTCTCGGAATTCTTCTGTATCGGCTGCTCCAAAGTTTTCTACCATGGAAGTTCGGATTAGTCAGCTGTTTGACCAGTGGGCAAACCGGTCATCCTGGAGAAGGATCTTCGACCTTCGGCAATTTCTTTCTCTAGAAAAAAGAGTGGGTCGAGTTCTCCAGATTCCCTGGCGCAGACTGTCAGGCGTGGAAAAGTACAAAGTACGGCGTCATCAAAGCATCGTTTGGACCTACTGTGTGTTTTCGGATGAAAAGATCCTTCGGCAACTCATTCAGAATTTAAAGGGAAACTTGAGATATACTGTTTACCCGACAATGGATAAGGTTACGGCCGTCTAGCTAGCATGAGGCTCAGTGCGGTACGCGGTACTGCTAACTATATCTCTTGATGTGCTCCCGTTCCCCTTCTTCCTCTTCCTCCTCCTCTCTTCACTTTCTTCTTCTTATCTACAAAAGTGCATTGAACACCATCATCGCCACGGAGGTGGGCGTGCGATGAAGTTCAGTTAGTTCGTCTCTGGAAACGACAACTTCTGATTAGATGTCAACATGTAAAGACAATTGTTATGCACCTGCTGGTACCAACGGTTATGTTCACTGAACCAACGGCATGTCATGTTACAGCAGATTCAACTACGGTGTGGTAGTTATTGCAGGCTGTACAAAGATAGCGCTGCAGGAACACTTTCGAGCCAACCCTTATAGTGCATAAAAATCAACTATATGAGCAAGGTCGTGGATCCTAAAAGGCTAGAGCAACGATAGCCGATGCCAGCAAACCAGGAGGAGTCAAGTCAAAAGAACAAGCAAGCAAGACTGGAATGCCAGAGACCGATGCCGTTAACGCCCACCTCCTCCCAGCATATCATCACTGTCATGGTCCGTTCAAGTTCGGGATTGACCTAGTTAGATGGGGGCGGATTCGTCGCAGTTTCAACACTACCAACCCGCCTTCAGACAGCAACATGTCAGCATCATTGAATGGACGCCTCTCGGTCGCATGCTCCGGCATCTTCTTAACCACCAAATTGGAGACAGCGTAGGACACAGGAAGGAGGCGTCCGCGATAGAGACTCAGTGCGAACTTGCTTCACTTGTGACTGCACGTTTCAGTCTGATCGAGCAACCCTAAATCTACCGCAACGTGACCGAAAAACAAGTACCTGCAGTTCCCGTCAACACCTCGCGCATGCATTCATTGGCCACACTTTTGCTACACATTCAACCACCGGACTTGATTATTGCACCCTACGTGCATACATGATGGTGATCAAGATGTCAGCCATAATTTCTGCTCGAAACCTTCAGCCAAACTCAGACACCGCATGGCTATTGCCCGTTATATGCGCGCAGTTTAAATTGCGGACACTTTGTATCTGACTAGCACTCAGGTATCAACCCAACCGTTGGCAGTGACAGGTGGTCAATCGCGTGAATTTGTGCTTGTGTGTACGTGACACGCCGTAGGCAGAGGGTTTAAGCCACACTAGCTACTGCGACCACTCTCACTGCCAGTCAACCGAAAGATTCAGGCGTGCTCCGGAGCAGCAAGGGTGAGCGAGGGATTTATCGAGATGCTCCTGCCTATGACAGTTGAACGTATTCCTCATTATCACAAGTTTGAGGCGATTGAAATTGGCACAAGACACCAAATGTCGTGGCATTTAAGGTTACCATTTGACAGAATAACTCGTTCCTGCTTAGAAATGGAGGACGGAATGTAATAGTTCCTTATGTTTGTGATCACAGTGCCACCCTTTAAGTATTTGAAATCCGAATCCATGTGTGTCACGCGTTAGACGCCGGCTCAACGTCTCTTCGGCCAACCTGATCCTTGCTCTGCTTGACTTCGACAGATCGTTGGTGTGATTAAGAGCTAAGAAGGAGTGAGGTCCGTACAGTTCGCATCCAACGCTAGAGATGCAAAGCGCTCGCACGATGTGCTACCTGTCGTGGCTTGGAAAGTTGCCAGCTAACATAACGGCACGATCCTAAATAGGACATAAACATTCAGTTGAAAACGATTCCTGCTTGATTTGGCCTTCACGACACTCCACCGCGTGGAATTCGAGCCACTTACTGTAGGTGGGCTAAATCATGGAATGTCAACCGAAATTTCGAAATGCGTTCTCGTTTCGGAAAGATTAATTAAGTAGGGTCGTTTAACTTGCCGGCTTGCAACATAGTTCTATAATAATTCAGTTACCTCAAGATACCGGCTTTCGGATGAACTTCCTTCTGGCCGCATACAAAAGCTATAGTTTGTAAAAAATGACTAATTATGTAGCATGCATTTGTCCCTTTGATTTCCGATGACTTTAAATGTCCAATTCTATTTCATGGAAAGCATGCTTAAAATATTCCTTGTTTCGCTGACTCGGTAGATAACTACGTTTTCTTCTAATTTTATACTCCAAGGAGGGACATAATTCGGTTTTCAAAAACTTTTCCAATTCCCGAATAATTTTGAACCCGCTCTGCCGTCACACTTGCATTCAGAGTTTCCAAACTACAAGCCGTATATTTTCCGCGTACGGAAACCCACACACTTCTCTACGGCATTAAGAGGAGACCATATGGGTTTCATAAAATTAAGCAAGGGCTTTTGAGTAATATTGTTAACTTTAGAAGCCGCATTCGTGAATGAAAATACATGACAATGAACGGCCATTCCACGGTATTTAAAAGTCTCACAATTTGAACCTTTTTGAAACCTAATTATATCCTTCCTTCGAGTATAAAATTGGATGGCGTAATTGTCTACCGAATGTGTAAGAGAATAAATATTCTTATGCATGTTTTCATGAAATATAATTGAATGTTTAAGAGTATCGGAAATCAATGAGAAAAATGCATGCTACATATGCAATCATTTTCAACAGAGTGTAGTTTTTGCAGGCAGCAGGAAGGAAGTTCGTTCGAAAGCCGGCATCTGGAGGGGACTGAAATATTATAGACTATTGTTGCAGGCTGACAAATTTTACAACCGTATGTTATTACTATTTTGGGAACGAAATTGCGCTTCGGAATTTCAGTTGACATTTCATGAGTTAGCCCACCTACTGTATACCCTCTAAAATTCTTGTAACCAGATCTCACACTCTTATAAAGCATAAACCTTTAAAATCCGAGAAGATATTAGGTAAGATTTATTGAAATTATGCATTTAAACATACATCGTTCGCAGAACTCCGCGAATCAGGGAAAAATCTACGGTATATAATACCTAGAAAAGTCTACGTGTTTCATCATGGATCTGGTAAAGACACGAAAAACGAAACGTGACTTAACGAGGAGGATCCGTCGTGGTGTGCCACAGTCGGAGCTTAGAAGTTTGCCAGCGCGATTTTGAACGGGTCAGAGGGTCAGGTGACAATGACTCTTTTTTAAATTGAC